TTTTCTTATTTTCTTTTTTTTCTTTTTCTTTTTATAATAATATCTAAAAATTATTGGAATTTTAGAAGGAAGAAAAAAAAAGACAATAAAAACAATCATTGTTTATTAATTTTTTAGGAAAAATAAATTTTTTTCTTTTTTGGAAAAAAAAAGAAAAGAAAAGAAAAGAAAAAAGGAGAAAAATTAGTAAAATGGAAAGAATATTTTGTTCATTTCATTTGGAAACATATATACTTACCATACAGTTTATTTTAATTTCTTTAATCCAAAAATATATACTTTATCCGATTAAAGCATATAATCCGTTAATTTGAAATTCATTTGAAAGTGAACAAATAAAGAAATGAAGAAATGAGGAGAAAAGAATAAATTCTAATTTATCATCCTATTGATAGATCTCTTTTCTCTCCCTCCCTTCCAACACTTTTATTCGTCAAAAACCATATTATTTTAAGAAATACGAGAATGTTTTAAAACAGAAAAAAGTTTTGCTTAGGAAAAAAAAAAAGCTGATTCGATGAATTCATTGCGCTTTAACATTTAACTACCAAAGTTCCTTCCGGAAAAGTAATTTTGGAAAAAAAAACTTTTTTTAAAAAAAAAAGAAAATAATTGGAAGATAAGGAGAAAAAAAAAAAAAAAGCAACACATCATTGATACGTTAGTAAATGATCTATGATCATCATGATATAGCTTAAATTGAAGTTTAAAATTTCACTTCAATTTTCCCTCTTCCTATTTTTTTTTTCCCATGAACTTTAATGATAGCTTATCAACATAATAGAAATAATGGAAACTAGAGTGAGAAAGAGAGAGGGAGAGAAAAGAAAAGAAGAAAAAAAATTGTGATAATAAGGTTTGAAAAAAGCTGATTTTGTCAGTTTACAAATCAATTTAAATTCCTCTAGAAATAGAGGAATTTAAATTGATAAAAGAAAAAAAGAAAAAAAATTTCTTTAGGATTGAAAAGTACGCAAAACATAAACATCCACATATAGCTACCAATCACATACACATCCATATATGTATGTATGCAAGCACACATACACACATACACAAACATACATACACTTAAAATTTAAGGATATTCATCTTCTTTTTTGTCTGTTGAAGCATAGATGGAGCAATGTTCCCAAAGGAATGAAATATTTGATTTTACCATAGCATTCTGGTATCTTCTGTCAACGGATAATTTTAAAATTATATTTCTCTTATCATATGCCAAAAGTTGTCGCATTGTTTACACATTGTAAAAATTTGATTTGAAATGTTATTTTCTTTTTTCTTGGAAGGAATTTCGAGCATCATTTTCATTAATTGCAGGGCATAAAATATTGTATAATTTAACAAATATGAGCTTAATAGATTCATTTACTCTGTAAAGAAATCAATTGATGTATTTTAATTACAGAATTTTCTGGAAGTAAAATTTTTTAAATTCATTAGAGAAGCTTCACCGAATCACTTCCGTTTTAAAAAAAATAAAAAAAAAAATTCGGAAAATTTCACAATAAGTACACGAGTAATCAAATCTTATGATTTTTCAATCTTATGAGAATTGTGACAATCGATACATTTGTACCAGTTAGAAATCACTTCATTTATTTCTGTAGTATAAAACCCATCCTTTAGGTTCGATGAATACATCCAGTTAGTTGTTAAAACATTTTTTTTCTTTTTTTTTGCAAAAAATTGCCATGATGATTAGAAATTGGTAATCGGTGGGCGAAAGGTGGGTATATATGGAAGGTAAAGCAAAATTTCGTGATCCAAATCACTCAACTTTCAATGTATTGCTTTGCTGATCTGTAGTCGGAATTAACAATGGCAACTGGATATGTTTCAGTTTTGTTAAAATTTACCAACTCATTGAATACATTCCTCCTCAAATGTGACGGTTCCCCCGGAATTCAAAAATCTATGATAATAACTCCACCGCCCAACCACTAAAATGGTCAAGTCATTTAAATCATTTGTCGTTAAAAATCACAATCCAATCGAGAATTAGTTCTTTGTAGTGTGTAGATTAAAAGAAGACAATTCAAACAACTTTTCTGATAACCAGTCAGCTCAACGGGACACCTGCTTACGATATTTTTTCCACCTCTCCAATTTGCATCAAATACTGAACGCCCATGGAGTGATGGATGCTTGAGTTCTTCGAGAAATTCTCATGTGGTTATAAGGATATCGATTTCAGTAATTATTTTCATTCGGTTAACCGACAACTTCCGATGACAGGTTCATTTCCTTCGCAGTTTCCAGATTCACAATGCATTCCTGGCCCAAATATGTTGCTAATATTGCGGATTCCCTCCACACTTTATGGCTCATCTTGAACAAATAAGAAAAATCATCACCTAAATTTGCTCTCTGTTTAACATCATTTTCTTAAACAGAATCGAAAACATATAGTAAAAAAGCAGGTAAAACAAAGACCATGAAGTAAGAAATGAGCATTGAATATAATGTAGCCTTATTTATCATTCTTCAGATGTAAAGTAGTCAAAACTACGAAAACCGTATTTACTTTTGCATCAACCTAATAGAATAAAAAGAATTTGTCAAAAATCTCCTAAATTTTAAATTCTAAAGTCGCAGAGATGCGTCTGAAATTCCGTAAAAATCAATTTTAAGGTGTATCAACAGAATCTATTAATACTCAATACTATCCAATACTGTCGCGTTCAAACTCTTCCATTAAACACCTTTTTCCAACTCTAATTTCAGCGTCTTATCCGTTTCTTTCTCATTCAAAGAGTTCACATAATCTAGAACTGAGATACCGGATACATCTCGGGCCCATTCTTGCTCGTTTACTGCAAAGTAATTAGTAGCACAACAAAGTTATGGATCATAAAGTCCAAATTTGAAGGTGATTCACTAAAATGGCGAAGAACGGAATGCATATGAATATCATTAAAAATTACAAAGATATATGAGAAATAAAATTAAAAAAAAGACCGCTTACCTGTACCAAATAACTGGAAAATTGCACCAGTCAATATTAGTACACATATCATAATTATAAACACGGCCCTCCATTCTGACATAACACTCTAAAATTAAGAATAAAGAATTTAAAAGTAAGCAAATGACTTTCTGGCATATGCAAATTTCATTTTTTATGGCTGCAACTCCACTGTTCAATGCCCTACCTAACATTGACGACACAAACAAAACGTTTTAGGTGGTTTGGGAAGTATCAATGTTTACCTACACCTAACAAAATGACTTATTTGACCTATACAGACTTTCCATTAGGACAGCTCCTATTGCTAGTATCCTGTTTGCTACTGCAAGACATGAGAACATTCCAGTACCCTGAAATTTTATAATACAGGGAGTTGAAATGTGAAAGCATCTCAAAGCTAACTCAATGTTTTTCTGCAGACGTAGAGTAAATTTGACCAGAAGATATATCGTAAAGTAGAATAAACCTGTACGGTGATCATTCCAATGATATAAGGTGAGGTGATGGAACCAGCTGTTCCCCAAAGCCTACAGAATGAAGCCACTGATGATGTATATTTTGGAGCAATACATACAATGCTGCAAATATCTACTTTAATTCTTGGAATTAACAATGAGACCAACTACATTAAATATGAAATACTGACTACAAAAAATCCTTCCCATTAAGTTTTTATTTTTAAGTCAGAAATTTCTTTTTTCCGCGTTTCAATAAAATTCAAATAGTACTGCTTTCATGGTAGTTTTTAAACAATGCCGAAAAAATCCTTATATCTCATGATGGCTAAAATTTTCAGAATAATGCAAAGCAAACCTAGTATTATATCCTGGAACAAAACCAGATAAAATACCCATGGCTAAACAAATGAAAATTACCGCCTTATTTCGATGACTGCAGTCGAAAAATATTAATGCGGTGAAGCAGCATGCTCCACCAAGTGATGCTGTAAACAAGCTCTAAATTCAAACGAATCTAAGGCAGCTTCTCAATTTTAGTTTATTGGAATTGAACTGGAACTGAAAATTACACCTCGACTGACATTCATACCAGCTATAAACCAAAAATACAAAACTTACCACATAAATTGCACATCTTTGTAACTTGATTTGGAGAAAACCCAACTTCCTTCGCTTTGTCTGCGAGACTCGCAAATGCCAACTTGCTTAATAATTGACAAATAAAAGGCAATGCCGAAAGCACACCGTTCTGAAACAACCTATATACTGTAAAATGGAGATAAAGAGGCTAACCAACATTTTCTGACCATTCAATGCAGTATGTCTCGGATAACATAAACAGATAATGCATACGTCGGGTGATAAGCATCCTAAAATGCCTTCAGAATATCCGTAGTCAAATCATTCACTTAGTCTATCTATTGGATAGACATACTCGATACAGAGTGTTGGCACTGGTTGGTGATAACATATAGTAGCATCATAAATTTTCTGTATCTGTCAACTATTGTTATCAATATATGGGATATCGTAATTCTGTCGAATTTTGCGGCAATATAACACAGTGCATATCAAATGTTACTTGCTGTTCAAATGAACAGCAGGAAAAGGAAAGCGGACAAGACTTTCATCTGTTTCAAATTTCAAATTTACGGAAGCTTTCAAATTTTTCAAAAATTTCAAATTTACGAAAGCTAATTTTCTTCGAAATTAACATCATTCTGCAGCTACCTGGGTATTTGGTTTAATTTGGAATAGAAATTTGTAGTTAATATGAAAGAAAAAGAAAAAGTCCAAAGTAATCAACTGCGATGTGATAACGGACATTACTTACAGAAGTGAGATCCATACTAAGTATAGTGCGATAATAGAGAGGTAAGTAAGTCACGGTACCAACAACTACGAATGATTGACAAAATGAACTTAATGCCGTAGACCAAACTGCAGTCGACGATAATATTTTTTGCCATGGGACATTCTAAAATATTTTGGGGAATATTAAACCGTGAAATTACGAAATAGTTGCAAAGTGTTACACCTCGCATTAATTTCAGAACTAAATTTCAATTAAATTTTGCTAATTTATAAAACACTGACCAAAGGAATTATGCGTTTTTGACCGCGTCCGTGTGCTGAGCCGGTGATGTGAATCAATTCAGCATCTGTGATATACTTCACACGAGTTGGCACGTCCTTCACCACAAGAGACCATCCAAAACACAAACCAATGCCTAATAAACCTAAAAACTGCAAATATATGACAAAATTTAATTCGCATGAAAAGCTTTCCTCTGAATCATTCACGAATACTAGGGAGGTAAACTCAAATTGGTATGTAAAGAGAGAATCGTAGAGCAGATAGGACTATCATATTTAGGTCTCAAGAATTTTCATGAAATATAAGTAATGGCAGTTAAAATAATGTTTGAAAACAGCTTACTGTAAAGATAAAATGCAGCTGGCCAACCACCAAAAAGTGATATTTGACAGAGCTCAGCAGTGACGAACATAGCAAAAATTATGGAAAACTGAAAGGAAGTTTTTAATCTTTATTGTGTCTTAAAAAATTTGGGAATAATTCCATGGTATATAAATGGTGCGTTCAATGAGATTTCAAAAACATAGCACATGAATTTGTTTAAAGAATTTACTTTAAATTATAAACACATCTCAAGTGTGCTTCGAAAATAGCACCTGATTGCCAGTAGTTGCTAGAGCAACCGCCGTACTTTTTTCCGATAATGGAAACCAATGAGCAATGAGTACATTCATACACGGTGTCAGTACACCATGACCACAACCCATCAAAAACCGTAGAATAATCACGCCAATAACACCAACTTTGCGTGAAATATATGGCGTAGTTATTGAACCAATAATATTAATAATTGCTCCACTTTGTACAGTATGAGCTGGCCCTATTAAGTCGCATAGATAGCCTGAAATAAGTTAAAATAAGTTGCTCCAAATAATCACGAGAGCTGTCATGTCATTCAAAATAACATATTTCCTTATGATAACATAACTATACTTCCCGCTGGACCGGCTACAGATTCTTTCATTCGGTTTTCGGTTTCCAGATATGAAAATTAAATAATCAATATTCACTTCCTGGAAATACAACAATGAGACCACCAACGTAAAATGCGGCAAAAATCCATGCCTGTTCTTGGCTTGTCCAGAGCAAATCACCATTCTGAAATGGGCAATATCAAGAGACTATGTAGGCGCTTTTCGCTCTCAAAAAAAAGTTTAAAAATAACATCCCACCCTTCTTCTAATTAATGCAGCAATTCAGAACATTTTTTAGTTAATGAAACGATACTATCATTTATTAAAAGCAATGAACTCACATAACTTCGTTTACGTTCAAATATTCTGGCACATGAATTTGGCAAAATAGTGTAAGTGCGATTCACTAGTGATTCCTCTGGCTTTTGAGCTAAAAAGGTTTCTATAATTTCAACATACTCGATTTAGCTTACACACGTTGTTAGCTTCATCAATGCAAACAAATGAATTTTACTGCGAAGTGTTGAACAATCATCAACAGCAATTCCTTTAAAAGTTACCGTTAGTAGCTTAAAAATACAGCATGCACTCTTAAAAGTGACGTCAGTAGCGTTCAATTGACGTCAGCAGGAATAGATAATGTCTACTGATCCAGTAAAGCAACAACTTGCATAAATAATCTAACAAAGTAACAACTGCAGCAACAGCAGCAGCAGCAGTAGCACCCTAGTAAAGCAGTATTTGCTAAGTTCGATCCTTTATTCTTGTAATCTTATTCAGTATAATGAAATGTACCGTTAAATGAACGTTCAAATTGCATGACAGCTGTTAAATTCACCATGCATACCATCGCCATATTCATATTGGTACGCATCAAACCTTCGATACAAAGTGCAACCGCAAGAAGTATGATAATACGAAGTCGGACACTTCGTAGTGACCACAGTGGAAAGGAAATGGTATTGTTCATGCTTGTTACACTCTTTCCACTGCCCATCCATTACATCTATTAGCATTAAAATCGATTACTTAGCTCATTACTTCAAACTGTGATTTCAAAAATAACACGCTATATATAGAATTCAAAAAGGGATTCGAATTCAATCCTCAACTAATTTCCCAATGCTATCTTTAACAGAATATTCGAAATAGAGTCATCGCCCCTGCGATCTGGTTCAAATATGATCAACAAGATTAGAATCATCCGAATGCGGATATCAAAGTATATTTCATACATTTTGGTATCGCACCAAAAAGCATCATAAATTTTTTCTTAAAATTCATACGTTTATTCTTTTTCTTTTTTGTAATTTCTAATGAAATTCTCATTTGTCTTCCATTTTGGGAAGTAATCTACTGGTTTAAACTATTGGTCGGAGAAGATGCGCAAATGTCAACTGTCAAAATATCCCGTTAGTTGGACTACATATGCAACGGTATTTTTTTTAGGACCTGTTTGACATTTCCCGAAAGATGTTTCATGATATTATGACATTGCCTAGCGCAATAAACATATGTTAGCACTCAATTTTTGTGCATATGAATTGTATACTTTTTGAATAATTGGAATGTAAATAATTTTTAACATACCTATTGCTAAGCAATTAAAGCTTTATGCAAAGCAATGAAAAATTAATTAGTTGTTTGAATGGATTTTGTGATCAACCTTTGATGCAAAACAAAATGATGCATTAATAAAACCTGCAATACACTGCGATATACTTTTCTTTCTCCTTTCTACCAAACTAATTCTTCAGCGTGCTGTTTAAACTGCACTGTTCTTATCTTTCAAACTGTTCCCACTATTTCCCATTATTTTTAAAATTCAATTTGTTGTAATTCTTATCTAAATTTTTTCTATTTAAATTAAATCTTTTAACGTCACCTTTCTCTTTTCATTCAAATCTAGCTTTACCTAAGTTTTATCACAATTAAAACTTAATTTATGCCTGAATTCAACCTTATTTTAACGAATGCTACACGGGAAACAATCGTTACAGTAAAACGATAAGCAGAAAGCATTGATTAAAGTAAGCTGAGATGATTCATGGCACTAAATATTTCCAACAGCTGTATGTGTTGTGTTTCCATCCATCCATCTTCCTACAGCTGACAGCGTTTCCAATTGTTTTCAAATCTTCAAGTTTTACAACATTCACGGAAAATCATCATCTGACCGTAAATTATCACCTGTAAGATTAAGATTATATGAAAAAGAAAAAGAAGCATTCCGGTTTTCACATTATTACAAGTAGCCGTATTATTTAATGATAAAATCGTTTCATATCATTACTACCATTTACGTTTGTGTGCTTATAACTTATGGTGGGTAAAATTTGCGAAAATGTCATATCATATGATTTGATTAAAATTGACAAATAAAAAAAACAAAACAAAACATATGACACAAAATTAACTTTTCAGTTAGCGAAAGAAAACGCAGCAAAATGGTATGACATAGACGAGTACGACCAACTCACGAAGGGTAGAACCTATCCTCTGGGACGGCGCTTTGTTTCACTAATCGAATGAAATACAGTGTTGGGTGGCAGTATCATATCACTAACGGTCGATTCTCTCTCATCCAACTATAAATAAATTACCCACACATCCATCCATTCATTCATTGATATGTATATATGTATATATATACACACACATATACAAACACACACACATACACACACATACACAAACACACACACATACACAGACACACGCTTACGTATACACCAATGCAGCTGTTCAACTGAAGCTATCCCGTGCAAAGTAAAGCCAAAGATTTAAGAGAATGATTAGACGTAGTTATGGTACTCTATCAATTTAACAATAAGATTTACCCTATTTTTTGGGAAAAATCATCTGAATTATGCAAGACACAAGTGAACGCAAATTTTTGATTCCTTTCACCATTTCAATAATAACAATTATTATTAATGATTAATAATAATAATAATAATAATAATAATAATAATAATAATAATAATAATAATAATAATAATAATAATAATAATAATAATAATAATAACAATAATAACAATAATAATAATAATAGTAATAATAATTAATGACAATAATAATAATGACAATAATAATAATTGTTATTTCGATTAATGATTATAATAACTATCATTGTTGTCATTATTTCGTATTGTTAGTTGATCAGTGACAAGTTAAATCATTAATATTGAAAAGAAGAGATCATTTAGAGGAAGTGAAATTTAAAGGATTCCTGAAATTGTTCAATTATTAAATATAGTCTA